TGTGTGTGTGTGTGTGTGTGTGTGTGTGTGTATGTATGTGTGTATGTATGTGTGTATGTGTGTAAGAATGTAACACGCATAATATGACATGATTACGGTATGATACAAAAACCGCATCATAATCAAGCTCCCAAATAATATATTGACGCACCTTAAGAATGAAAACATGTAGGCATGGTGCAGACACATCCGGTACTCGGAGGTGGGGAATGACTATGCCGGACTACACGAGCAAGCTCAGGAACAAGACCTTGTAGGCATGGTGCAAATGGAACCTATACTGTAAGGTGGGGAATGACTATGCTGGACTACACAAGCACTCATGCTCCCACTGCACTTTGTGGGCGAACGGGAACACACATTATCAAACAGACACCACAAGACGAGGAAAATAAGCACGATAAGGCAAAAGGCAACGAGGTAATGGCAACATACTCCAAAAAGGCACAAGGACTGGGGGTCAGGCAGGAGGTGGGAGGTCAGGCCATACATAAATTCACAAAACAAGGAAAGACGGAAAAAAAAAGACAACCCAAGCATAAGACAACAGGCAACAGCAAGTCAATGGCTGGAGGGCACGGCGGAGGCGGGAGGGCAGACATGACTTAAACACAGAAAGCAGGCAAAGCAAAAAATAGCGAAGACTGAAAAAAATAAAAAATAAAAAATCGATGATGACAAAATTGTTTCGTCGGAGTTGCACTGACTCATCAGGAGGCTGAACCTTCGACAATCTGCGGAATCCCCGTATTTGATGGTTTGGGCCATGAACCCTTCGACCCTTGTTGAGGACAGACTGTCCCCAAGCAAAACATAGCAGTGGGCAGCAACCCTATGGAGCACCAGACAACACAGTAGAGGCAACACGGATGAACAACGCCAAAAACATTTGCAAGGAACGACATGGCACGCAGGACAAGCAGTGCGGCAACCGTGTAGTGAAGCGCAAGGCAACAGAAGCAAGGCAACCATACTACAAGGGACGACAGGGCAGGCGGACCAGCAACTCAGCAACCGTGAAGTGAAGCACAGGGCACACGCAACAAGGCAACCAACCAACAAGGCCCGCAAACAGCGAACACGGAAGGCACGACCAGTGGAAGGGCAGCAAGGCAGCCGAGCAGCGACGCACAAGGCAACACCAACCACACGGCCACACCACACATTGAACACATCAACCTGCAAAAAAAAACATGCGAAGCAAGCGGGACAGGCAGCAGGAGCCGAACGTGTACAAGGTCCAAGGGCGCCGTTTGCGCAAACATGACAAGCGCACCGTTTGCGCGAGGTCAGCAAAGCGCAAGTGCCGTTTCATCCAATTCCGACCTGCACAAATGTTTGCATTTCCAAAGTCCAAGGGTGCTGTTTCATCCACTACCGCCTGCCTGCCGCCCAACGACCGCACCAACAGCGTCCTACGCGGCCTCGCCCCTTGCTAGGCCCCAAAACTCAAAAAGGCCAACCTTTGCAACGACCACCAATCTTGAACGTGAGGGCGCGGTTGCGCAGGTACACAGCCCGTAGTTCGTTTGTTGATGCGGTTGGGGAAGGGTGCGGTAGTGATTATGGTGTGCGTTTGTTTTGCTATGTTCGCTGTACACAACTGGAAGAGTGTGTGGGGGGGGTTCCAGCTGGTGCTCTGTTGACTATGTTCATGGGACGCTGTACCCAGTTTCCAGCGGGTGCGGCTCCCCACCAATAGACACCAGAATGCGGGTGTTTTTGTGCATGTGTGTGTGTGTGTGAGAGAGAGAGGGAGAGAGAGAGATAGAGA